AACTGTCGTAATTTATGATTTACACCCGGACTGGATGTATTCAGTAAAAAAACAAAGAGAGGTATTCTTTTCTTTAGGAGTGACAAATAAATAAATATGGATGTGGATGTTTTGCGCCTTGGATCCTGTATTAAACCCTTAGAATATCTTTCTCCCATCTGATATGCAGAAGGCTACTCAAAAATCAAATTGAACAGGACGACAGAAGAACAAAATAATTTTTCAGTATCTAACTTCACATCATATATATTAGATGGTAAGGAATATCATGGTGGGACACAGTGAAAAATCTTCCCCCTTACCTTTTCTCTGTGTTTTTATATTAGGGGTATCATTATTGTTGTTATTATAGGCATTTATAAAGCACCAAAATATTCCACAGCACTGATATGTATGCACAACTGGGATAAGCCCACATATAAAAGGATCAGGATATGACCTTTATAACATCAAAATACTATAATTTTCCCCAAATACCAGAACTAGGTGTTGCCATGCTCAGTGATCTTAGTTAGATAACCCTATGTATGCTGCTTTGCCCCCCAAAAAACAGGCCTTTAAAAAATAAAAATAAATTATTGAATTTGTATCGTCATGTTTGTAGCATATATAACTTATTTTCTCCAAATTAAACAAGTACAACATTTCTAACTTTTCAGTGTGTAGTGGACCACCTGGTAACCCAACCGGTTACCTCCGCTAGCTCCCTTCCTTCAGCCGATCAGGAACTCTTACAGGGTTAGGGGACTTAGCTCCATGCGCTCCCAGGGCTGGACAGCACTCAGTCCTGAAAGCTCTTAGTCCTCACAAGGATTTTTCCCTGCTGCATCCCCTGCAAGCTGGAACAGCCGACACAGGGGTTAAATATTTCCTTCCCTCCAGTAACCAGACGATACACAGTTCGGGAGGTTAAAACACTGACAATCTTTAGTTGGAACACATAGCTTTTATGCACAGACCACCGCAGGGGGTCTCCATTCAGTTCCACACAATCCCAGGCAGGAGGGGGTTGGGTTACAGACAGCAACCACCCGCTCTGGGAGATACCAGTACACAGGGACACACATTAAAACATATATTCCATACGGTTGTGAAACCTTTGGGAGGGGGTCACATCGATAAAACCTACATCCCTAGATAGCCCCAGGTCCCATTTGGGATCCCTGCAAAAAGCGAGGCGATCGGATGTACAGAGTCCGAGAATTCATCATCTAAAGTCTGGGGCTCGAAGCTCTGTACATCCCTGAACTTAGTTCCATGAAGTTGCTTGGTTTAGTCTAGCAAATTCAAACTTCACGCCTAAACCAAGCAACAGCCAATCAGCTGAAAGGCGCAAAACCAAATTGCGCCAATCAGCTCGCAGGGAGGAGAGGAGTTTCGCCGTCCAATCAGACTCAAGGGCGTGAAACTTGATTGCACCAATCGGCACTCCGGGAGGAGAGGGGTTTCGCCGCCCAATCAGGAGAAAGGACGCAAAACCCTGTTTAAATGGGTGCTCCTTCTCTGATTGGTTGCCTGCGGCCTGCAGCGACCAATCAGCGCTAACTCGTGCAGACCAACCAGGAGAATGGCGCGAACCTAGTTTGAATGGGTGCTCCTTCTCCCATTGGTCGGCACAGACTTCCAGGAAGCCAGCGGGACCTCTATGGCTGTGTAGCCGACTCACAGCTCCAGGGATTCCCTGCTGGCATGCATCATCTCTCTCTCCGGTGGATATTCCCACCGGAGAGAGCGTTCTCTTGGGCAGCTAATTTTTAATTTCTTCTTGTTTAATGATATTCCTAACTAAATCCCATTTAAAATATGCGTTGATAGTCTGTCTTGATCCCAAAAAAACAAAGCGGAAGCACTTGACTATAATTAACGTTTTTTTTGTTTCAACTGTAAAGTTTTCCATTAACGACTGTCCACTTTACCTTACTCACAACCCAAGACATTCAGACAGTAAGGATTGTGGTGTAGGGCTTCTACTTTCACCCCACTGCTCCTTCAAACCTCTACCCACCCCCGTTCCCTCTCTTTCTCCTCATTTGAAATTTACTTAATTCGCCTTTTCAAACCCATCTCTGCAAACGTTATTTATTGCCTCCCCTGGTTCCCCTCTTCTCTTTCTTGACCATTTTGCTGCCTGGCTTCCCTACTTCCTTGGGGACATCAACATTCACATTAACTCACCCTTGACCTCAGTATCCTCAAAACTTCTTTCAATTACTTCCTCCCTTGCATAGGCGTGCGCACGGGGTGTGCCGAGTGTGCCTGGGCACACCCTAATCCCGCGGCATGCCTATGCATATTGAGACCGGCAGGGGAGATCTCAGGATCTCCCCTGTCGGCTCAGCACCCACAGACATACAGCACCCATACACAGCACCCACAGACATACACAGCACCCACACACATACAGACACATACACAGCACCCACACAGCACCCACACACATACAGCACCCACACACATTCAGCACCCACATACACACCCACACACATACAGCACCACAGACATACAGCACCCACAGACATATACAGCACCCACAGACATACACAGCACCCACAGACATACACAGCACCCACAGACATACACAGCACCCACAGACATTCAGCACCCACAGACATTCAGCACCTACAGACATTCAGCACCCACAGACATTCAGCACCCACAGACATTCAGCACCCACAGACATACAGCACCCACAGACATACAGCACCCATACACAGCACCCACAGACATACACAGCACCCACAGACATACAGAGCACCCACACACATACAGCACCCACATACACAGCACCCACACACACACACAGCACCCTCACAAACACACACAGCACCCTCACACACACACACAGCACACTAACAGTACCCTCACAAACACACACACAGCACACTACCAGTACCCTCACACACAAACAGCACCCTCACACACAGTTCATTAACAGCATCCTCACAAGCACGCACACACAAACACCCTCACCCACATAGCACACTACCAGCACCGTCACACACACATCACACTAACAGCACCCTCACACAGCACACACACAGCAGTGTGTGTATGTGTGTATATATGTGTATGTGTGTGTGTGTGTATATATATGTGTGTGTGTATATATATATATGCGCTGCGCACGCCTATGCTCCCTTGGGATATCAGTGGGCTAATTCTCCCACGCAGGTAGCTGGCAATACCATCAATCTATTTTTTTCAGATGCATGCACAGTCTCTAATCTCTGTAACATTCAATTTCCTCTCAGATCCTCTCATATAATTTGTTCTTGAGAGCTGCCTCACCCAACTTTCTCAGCAACTCTCAGCTGATGTCCATCCCCAAATCTCATCCTACCTTCTTTTGCCCCTCTCTGGTTATCTCTTTGTATAAAGTACTCTCACCTCTGCCATGGATGCTGCAGCCCTGCTCCAAACATACACCTCAAGGAAGACGTGCCTCCAACCGTGGCACACTAAGTTGACCCGCTATCTGCAGAGATGCTCCAGTTCAACTGAATGATACTGGAGGAAGTCTCATACCTTTTCAGACTTTCTCCATTTTAAATTAACCTTGTATTCAAGCAGCACAGCCCTCATTCTTGCTAAATAATCATACTTTTTCTCTTTCATTAGTTTATGCTCCCACAATTCCAATGCTCTCTTTATACCTTCAAATCTCTTCTTCGCCCTGCTGTAGCCACCCCCCAAACTAACCATTTAGCAGATTGCTTTGCATGCTATTTTACTGATATGATTAAACTGTTGAGGAAAGAATTCTCCCCCCTTCACTCCTCTCTCTCCCTCTTAACCACACTTGGACCATGCCTTTCCTACACTTCAGGCCTTCTCCACAGCTCCTTTCCTCTCACCCTACCACTTGTCTGCTTGATCCTGTGTCATTATTTTATCAGATCTCTCTCCATTTGGTTTGTGCCATCCTTAATGCATATCTTCAACTGCTCTCTTTCTTCTGGCATTGTCCCTGCTCCCTTTAGCATGCTAATGTCATACTCATTCTAAAAAAAATCATCTCTTGACCCATCTTCCCCTTACAACTATTGTACCATACTCCTGCTCTCATTATTTCTCAAAACTTCTAGAAAGACTTGTCTTTACCTGTTGGCTTGCTTCTCCAATTCCACCTGTCTCCTCGACCTTTTCAATCTGGCTTGTGCCCCCCCCACTATACTGAGACTGATCTGTTTAAAGCTCCAAAGATCTAATAACAGCTAAATCCAAAGGCCACTGCTATATACTAATTCTTCTTGACCTTTATGCAGAGTTTGACACCGTTGATCATGTTCTCCTTCTCCAAACTCTTCAATCCCTCAGTTTCTGTGACATTGTTCTCTTCTGGTGTTCTTCCTATCTCTCCCAACGTTCATTCAGTGTCTCCTTTTAATAACACCACCTCCCCTCGTTCTGTCTAAGTTGGAGTCCACCAAGGCTCAGTTCTTGGTCCCCTTTGGTTTTCTCCTTATATTGCCTCTCTTGGCAAACTTATTTATTAATTTGGATCCTGCTGCCACCTGTATGCCGATGACACCCAGATATATCTTTCCTCCTCGATCTCTCCCATGTTGTCCTACAATGTGTCACCAGTTTCCTTTCTTTCATCTGTGTTTGCATGTCCTTCCACTTTCTGAAACTCAATTTCTCTAAAACTGAGCTTTTCCACAGTAAAATCAGATAAGTGGAAAAAAGTGCAGAGAACAGCTGCAGGCAAGCCATTAGCAAAAAGGATCACTCCCAAAATTCCAACAATCTATAAAACAAGTTCTGGATAGTTTAGAAACCATAAACCGAGTAGAGCACCACTTTCACAAATGTTTCATCTTATTTTTCCTCCTCATACTGATCCTTCTTTTGCAAGTTGATGGCACCCGCATCAGCCCGATCTTGCAAGCTTGCTGTCCTTTAGTTATCTTTCATTCTGATCTCATCTTTGCACCTCACGTCCAGTCTGTTTCCAAAACCTGTCGATTCCACCTAACAAACATTACCCACATCTGCCCCTTTATTAAGCAAGATGCTCTAGTACTTTCTCGCACTGATTACTGCAATTCTCTCAGAGAACTTCTCACAGCGTATCCTTTTCATTTGGATCAGCCTGCCTTCCCCGATCAGACTCTACCCTAGTCTTCAATCATTTAAGAAGTCCTCAAAACGCATCTCTTCAGAAAAGCTTATTTCCTCCCAGAGTAACTTCTATTTCACAAACCTGCCTGTTGGCGCTCTCCTAAAGGGCCACAATGCACTCTTACCTCCAATTTTGCTACCTTCCCACCTTGTTGTTTGGTTGCTACCCCATCAAAGCCCTTCAGATTGTGTCTTTATATCCCAGCTCCTCTAGACTGTAAGCTCAGTTGAGCAGTGTCCTAATCAACCTATTGTTCCTGTCTATTTTGTATCTCATTGTGTCTCATTTATTGTTAAATTTTCCCCTTTTCGTATTATTGTAAAGTGCTGCAGAATTGTGGGAAATTGGGGGGATTACATATTTGATGACTAATTATTTGGATTATCACTATGTAAGCACTAAACTCATTATTTATGTCTTGTGAACTTCAATTTATCACTGTTGTATCTTTCTAATACTCTGTATGAATCTTTTTCTGATATACTGAATTTTTTTTTTCAATAAACATTTATTGCATATACAATGCTGCGTTGATGCTATATAAATGCCAAAAATAAGAATATTTATGCTCTACACTTCTTTTAGTCCATTTTGAATCCAAGTACCTGCATTTTATTTATACTCACAGGGCATTGTCTGGTGTAGGGGATCCTCTGGGGAAAGATTGTAGTGAGGAATTCACAATTCACCATTGCATCCTGGATTTCAGCTGCTCTACTGCAGTAAATAGGTCACAGTTAGTTAAAGAGTGTGAATACATGAACATTTTGGGTTTCACAAAAACTTCCTATTAGACATTTATCATCAAGCATGAGTGATTTAGGGAGTTTTATCATAGAGAGATTAGCATGATTTTTCTGCCATTATTGATTCTGCATAGGTGCATAACATCATCTCTGGCACTCGAAGAATTACAGGGTGTTCTGCTTAGCTGCAGACATTGATTGACTTATTATTTTAACAAACTGGCTTGAATAAATGTTTGCTCCAATGTATCATTTGAAACAAACTTAGCAGCAAATAGGACATTTTAAGAGCAAAATGTGAAAATGATCTTTCATCTTTATGTAACTTTACCTAACACAGAAAATACATCCATTAATTATCAAAATGGAAGCCAGTAACAGCTAGGAGTGTTAATACACTCAGAGTTAGTTATGAAAGTTGATCAGCAGATTTGAAAGGATAAGTTGTAAACAAGCGCAAGTCACAAAAATGTAGTAATGTTGCAACCCTGAATGAACCATTTCAATGCAATAGTTAAAGGGACACTATAGTCACCCAGACCACTTCATCTCAATGAAGTGGTCTGGGTACCAGGTCCCTCAGGTTTTAACCCTTCAGATGCAAACATTCCAGACAGCACATTTCGCCTCCATCGCGCAGAGCGTCCATAGGAAAGCATTGAGAAATGCTTTCCTATGGACACTTTGAATGCGCGCGGCACTTGCCGCGCATGCGCATTCGGCTCCGCTGACGTCGGACGGGGGAGCTAACGTCGGACAGGGAGGAGAGGTCACCAGCGCTGAGGGAGCCCGGCGCTGGATTAAGTTAATCTACTGAAGGGGTTTTAACCCCTTCAGCACCACGGGGGCACTGAGGGTGGGGGCACCCTCAGGGCACTATAGTGTCAGGAAAACCACTTTGTTTTCCTGACACTATAGTGATCCTTTAAGTGAAGTATAGACAATGATAAGTAGATAACTCACATATAGAGTATAAATTGGAAGTTTATATAGCGCACACATCACAGAACATGGCGCATCGAACATAGGGGGCCACCCAGAAAGGAATCTGAGACATTTTAGTCGAGATAAACCATGGTTTTTATTTGTTTACCCGAATGATTTATGGTATGTTGTCTCAACAATTACTGCTAGAAGTAAAATGCAAGGTACAGTGTCATTATGTGACTGTTTTTTTGGGCAAAAAGTATATTTCTGACATTGTGCAAAAAAACTTTAAGTACCTATAAATTCCCACTTAAATATTTGTTTTTATTGTGGCAATTATGGCTATACATGACTTTTTCCTTGTTGTTTTTAATATTGTAGGCAGAGACATGGTATATGAATAAAATATACAGAAAATGTGTACAAGTTTTAAGGAAAGAAATGTGTACAAATTTTAAGGAATCCTCCATGATGATTTTTTTTTTTCTTGAATTTGAAACAGTCTAGAGATAACAGGACTCTTACATATAGTTAATCATTTAAGCCTTTGGACTACAGTCTTGCTAAAGTAAATACACATTGATAACATTGATTAGTATCATCACTAGTACCACACAATACAATACGCAAATATGACTGTGTAATTTATGAGCAAGCAGGATGTTTTTGGCCCAGCAATGTTTTACCAGAACTAATCATTACAATCCTTTTATCTTGATAGATTTGTATTGTTAACTGATTAAATGATATTTTTAGTTTTTTAGTGGTATTATTGTATGCTGAATGCCTCAAGAGTATTTAGAGAAATAGATCACGTGCATGATCCCATCAGTCAATGTACTTTTACCAAAGCCACATTTTCAAAGTAACTAGATTTTCTGTGCTTTACTTGCTAAGTGAATAACTTATAGCTACTTTTTTGTTATTGACTTTCTTGCAGATTTTGTAAGCGTAAGCTCTCCTATGGCGGTACGCTGATCAGATGTTGCTCCAACTGGCGGACCGCCGCTCCCACGCAGCATGAAGCTCTGGTCAATCTCATGGACGCCGGCCGCTGTGTATCTGCCCCTTTTTATGACGAGGCGCACATGTGCCGGCGTCATCACATCAGGGGAGCTCTAAGCAATAGAGCTCATCGCACTCTCCTATAAAACATGCTCTGCCCAAGGTACAGTGCCCTGTTGTTGTTCCTAGACATTCTAGTGTCCCAATAGTGGGTTCCTTTGTCTGTTTATTGTATTGGTATTGACTCGGCTTTCTCTTGACTACTTTGTGACACTGAATGTCTTAAAGCAGAGTGTGAGTCAAACTATATGAAGCTCCAGGAAGCTCCTCTAGTAGCTGTCTGGTAGACAGCCATTAGAAGTAATCTTAGTACTGTTTCACAAAAACTGAAATGTTTAATTTTTTTGTAAATTCTTTATTTTTGTTGTGTGAGTAAGTACATGCGGGCTTGCGATGCCACAACAGCAAGAACAAACATTTCATCAGTAAAAACATTTTTACAGAGTCATGGCATGTAAAGATTTTTCACATTTTTGTATAAGAAAAATAATAAAGTTATAATCAAGCTGTTAAAGACACAGTGCCTTTAGGAATTTCAGATGCTTTGGGGTTAGTTCATGTGTTGATTTGGAGTTGTGTTTTTAACAGAATTGACAATTGGTCGTGATTCTTTTGATACAGATTCTCCAAGTCTGTAAGGTATGTCCATTCTATTTACTTCCTGTTTATTCAATGTCTTTGTACATTCAATTTTTTGTTTTACTTCTGACATGGATGGCGTTCTTGCCATCATTATGGTTTTATTTTCATTTTAATCCATATCTGAACAAATCAGGTAAATCCTGGATGTATCAATTAATAGGGATATGAATTGAAAGACTTATTATTTTAACAAACTGGCTTGAATAAATGTTTGCCCCAATGTATCATTTGAAACAAACTTAGCAGCAAATAGGACATTTTAAGAGCAAAATGTGAAAATGATTCCCTATCTACTTGTTTTATTGAGAAATATCTACCAGTTCAAGTAGCAGCTCTAAGAAGCATAATGGGCAGTAGCTACAGGTATGCTTATAAACACCGTATTTATTCTAAATCACAATCTTGTCAGAAATTCAATGAAACTGAATAATTACAAATATGTTCATATAATAATAACAACAATAATGTATTTAATCAGAAAAAGTGCATTAATATGACTCTGGTTTCCAAATATGCCCTAGGGGTGTTACTTTTGCCTAACATCCAGTGGATGTTGCTATTACCCAATTTAATGGAAGTTATTTTATCTATCTTGGAGGAATGAAGAGCTGAGTCAACCCTGTAAAGATTTGAACCTGCAATCCCCAAGTGTTGTACAGATTCTACTGATGATGCAGTAGCCCACTGAGCTATCTAACTGGCCTATATAAAGGAACCTATGAGGTTTAATGAGCTGTCGATTGCAAATTGTAAGAATGCACCGTTTCAGCTATACAGGTCAAAAATTTCTACTTATTTTTTATAATTATATTGACTTTTGGAAATTTTAGCTTCTTTCTGACCTGTCTGCTAATTTGATGACCAAGCACTGAAATGCACACCATGGCGACATAGAGAGAGTAATCTAAAATAACTTTGTGTGTCAACCATTCTTGTGATTTGCAACTGAATAGGAGCTGCAACATATTAAACAAGGCTGAATTTGCATTATATATGTGTGATAATGCGTTCAGGAATACTAATAAAATGACACAGACTCATGGAAAGCAATCCTACATTGGTAGCGACACCAAGTAAGGGCATGGAATGGAGGGCAATCTCCAAGGGCATGGAATGGAGGGCAAAGAAAAATGTACAATGCAAAGCTATTATGGACTCATGGAGCTATAGCCTGTCAGCCTCAAACATTCCAAATCACCAGTAATGCTTAATTCATACCTCACATGCCCCTTACAAACCCCACCCTCATCCTGCTTTCATACCTTCCTATACTGGGAAATATGAAATATGTTTTGATGTGTAAAGAATTGACTTTTTGTTTATTTCTATTTCATTAAATTACCTTCTTACTTCCTGTTTTACCTCTGACCTAGATGATGTTGTTAATTCTCAGTGTGGTTCATTTCATAAATTACTTGCAGTGTCTTTATTATTTTACCTTAAATATACTATATATAAAAAGTACCTTAGTATATACATGGCTACGACGTAATTGTAGATTATGCTAACGCAGTGTACCTATAATCTTAATTTTATTAAGGACAGGAGGTGAGTATTTTGCATAATCTCTCTTTACTAAAACTCCAGCAGCACAGATTTAACAATAAAGTTTAGTGAAAAAAACATTGCCACAGGGTATAACTTCCTCTTTCTTTGATGCAATATACCATTAAAAAAAAACCATGCAAATACAATGATAACAATGAAGAATCAGACTGTAAATGATCCGAATCCCGAATGGATGATTGTCGTAGAGTGTGAAGATGATCCCATGTATTGATCCATGAAGAAGAATCAAACTGAAAAGAAACAAAAGACGTGCAAGGGACTTGGAAATGAACTGTTCGTCATTATTATCATCATTATTATTGG